ATCTCAGTGACTCACTACATTCATCTTAAACTGTGTTTTCACTTAGTATCAACTTACACTTACATTTCATGTTTACTTACACTTCCAACTTCTTCATTTTTAAGAAAAAGTTACTTGTTAAGTGGTGACTGGATATGCATGTGACAATAAGTAGAGAGACAGAATCTGTGATCTGTGTCCTTCCAAGCTTATATTCAAATGGGGAGAATGAGCCAAACAAAAGACTTTATTGAGAATTTTTTAAACTATGGGTACACTATAAATTCATAAAATAAGAGGAGAGGCTCTTTGTGTTTAAGCACTGTGATTGTCCATAGCATTGTGAGGAAACATGTAAACCTATGGAGATGAGCATCAGAATGAATACGAAGTATATAAGCTGTGCCATGAGTACAGTGATGAGCAAAGGAGGAGAATAGGCTATCTAGAAACAAATGAAGGCAAAGCTGAAACACAAGATGGAATTTTTGAATGAGACGTGATGTTATCTAAAATTTGCCTCCAGTGGTACGGTTAAAATGTTGAGGTATGCAAAAAGGAGCAAAGTGAGCCTCAAAGAACCCATTAGTTTCTACTTCACTGGTCCACATGGTGGAATGGTGAGTGAGTTAAAGTGAAGATGATGATTGTGACTATTTGAGTGTATGTCTTGAAAATAAACGGAGGAGTCTATATGGGGTTTGCAGAAAGAATGAGCATAGTATGATTCCAAATATTTGGACCAGAAGAATGATAAAGGAGTTGCTTTCCTAGAGTTGGGAAAGATTAAATGAAGACCATGTTTAAGAAGAAAAATAGTAGTTCAGTGCAGTTCAGCCATATTAATGAGATACCAAGTGTTCATCTTTGTAGAGCTAGCAATCTATCTTGTTCTCCAGTTAATGGAAGTTACACACTAATGTCCATGTTGTAGAAGCTTTATAAAAGCATGTATTGTTGCATTAATTAGAGATGACAATGGTGGGGACAAAACTATGTTCAGAGAGTATAAATAAAATGCTGAAGGATTCATACAGTAGATTTTTTTCTCACTCAGGTTGTGGCTTTAGCCAATACTTTATTGCATGGATGAGTGTGATGATCCAACAGTTAAAATTTTCCAGGCAGAAAGAAGAACAAATGTAAGCCCCTGGGAACCATGAATCTCCTAGAACCCTTAAAGAACAGCAATGGAACAATCCATTGCCTTTCAGCAGAGCGGTGTTTCTATGGGGCTTTACATGCTGGGAGTATTTACTACTCGCAGACTCAGTAACATCTGAAAGGGAGGGTGCCATAAGTTTGGAGGCCGAGAAATACAGGGATAAGTTCACAAGTCCACTCATACATTGACTAAGAGGTAGTGAAGAAATGTACCAGAGAACATATACTGTGGCATTAAAAACATTGAAGTGGCAAAAGAATGCACAAGGTATGAGTTAACGGTCTAGGGAAGGTACTAATGGCTGACATTTGTTTTATACTCTATGATACTCAGGCACTGTGATAGTCTGTATTTTGGTCAGAATCGAACAGACACTGCTATCTCCATTTAAAATATGCAAAGCTTGAGGCCAAAAAAAAAACAACTAAAAATGACTTTGGAGATCACTATACACTGAAGAAGAAGAAGAAGAAGAAGAAGAAGAAGAAGAAGAAGAAGAAGAAGAAGAAGAAGAAGAAGAAGAAGAAGAA